TAAAGATAAGATATATATGGATATGAATTAATCTGTGAGGTATAGAAAAGTAATGAAAAAACATCAATTGATATTTGACTTGAGTGGGTCTTCAAATCATTGTTCCAGATGTACATTTATATTTTATCATCTGCCCATTTGGGTATCATGGGAGGAACAACCTATCACCAACTACCTAATACCTAATATCTTGCTACACAATACCTAATACCAAAGTCTGAATGCATATAATGAATATTAATTTAATTGAGCTTCAAGATACAATGCTAAGTTCTGATGATTCCTTGTTGTTTGACTTGGTCCTTGCTCTACTACCTATACAGCATATGAAAACATGAGGATTCTCAAAATTTAAATTTCATGACCATATGAGATTGACATGCAAGTATTTTATTTTCTGGTTATACAATAAGAAAGGAGTATCCACTGTCAAATGAACATATTATATTAATGGTTGATAGGACATATGAAAATATATTAAAATCTGCATTTTTCCAGGTATAGTCCTAATGATTGAGAAGTGGAAAAAAACCTTTTCTGCTATATTTTAATAAAACAGTATATATTGTGTTCTCTTTTTAAAATTAAAATGTATATATAACATTTTATACTATGAGAAAAAGTAAAGAATGAATAAATATAATAGCATAATTCAGGGATATTTAAATTTTCTTCTCTTTGTTTACTTATATTTTCTACAGTGTATGTGTATGATTTTTAGAGTAGAAAGACCCCCCTTTGTTCAGATTAATTAGGCCTATGTATCTGTTTACATTTCTAAACACCTATGTCAAAAAGGAATTCTTAAAAAATAAAATTAATTTCAGGTGTGCATTATTTAAAACATAGGTGCTTTTGTTCAGTGTCTCAGCCCCTATTTGGTGGCTCAGTATGTATAATACAACAGAAAGATTGTACATACTGAGCCTAGAGGATTACAGGGCAGTGGATGGGCCTTGGGCTGCTGGAATACTAGCTTGTGAGCAGCCTCCTTGGGCAATTCCACTGTGCTACACACAGATGATTGTTTTTTATGAGATCTGCACCAAGAGAAAGGTGACAATGCATTAGATTTCTTTGCCTCAGGCCCTGTAACATCAGTCCCCAATCCCAATAAAATAAGCAATTAAATTCTGTCTGGAATAATTATCCTTTTGACATAAAAATCAAGAAGCACTTCTGGCTGGGTGTGGTGGCTCACACTTGTACTCATAACACTCTGGGAGGCCGAGGCAGGAGGATCCCTTGAGGTCAGGAATTGGAGACCAGCCTGCGCAAGAGTGAGACCCCTATCTCTAATAAAAATAGAAAAAATTAGCTGGGCGTGATGGTGCACACTAGTAGTCCCAGCTACTCACTGACACCAGGGCACTCTAGCCCTATAGCAGCAACAGAGCAAGACTCTGTCTCAAAAACAAAAACAAAAACAAAAAAACCACTTCCTAGATTAGAATGTATAGAAATAGAACATTGGCACATCAATATTTTCAATGAGAAAAAAACACCTTCAATGGTGGGATATTCTTGAACTTATGTCTATTTGGTAATGTTAGAAAATGGTAATGGATCCTAGTGGCCAAAGAAAATCACAGCCCTAATGAACCATCTATTTTTATGCGTATGTGTGTCTAGTCTTTCAACATTGAGAGTATGGCCAATTTGGCTGAAATTTTTTGTTAAATAGGTAAATAAATGTTACTAGGTAAGAATCGCTGCCTTACTAGTATCTTCCTGACTCTGCCCAGACAGTCAAATCCCTTTCTACACTTCCTCATTACTTTATTATGAGGAATTTATTGACTGCTTTCCGTGTGTAAAGAATTGCTTGTTGGTAAACTGGAATTTGACTCAGAATGAAATATAGTGCTCACGGGCATCTTCTAAAGTAAAATGGATCGTTTCTCTCTACACTTTGCTATAGCAGGAGAATTAGGCAAGGAAGAACAATGGAAGCCCCGTTGCATTACAGAGGTGAGCACTGGCTCTCCTGACCACAGCCCTTGCACCTCCATCAGAAGGTTCCAGAAGCAATAGTTGGTAGTCACACACTTCTTGCAATTGCCATACATGGTATTAATATTTCAAAATGTAAATAATTGTGAAATAGAAATCTCATCTCTTATCGGCAACTGCCCCATCAGATATCATCAAATTCATCCCTGTCATTGATTTCAGTGAATGTAATCCTGTAAAGTAAAGCTCATAAGTATGATTTTCCTCAAATTGATGTATCAAGTGCAAAAAATAATGGCTGTATTTTGCAAATGAAAATTCAATTTGTCAAAAAGTGATTTATAAATGATAATATGTCTTCTCATGAGAATGTAAGCTTCAGGAAATTGTTCACTGCAGTATCTCCAGGATTGAGAACAGTGGTTTAAATGTGTTATCCATTACATAAATATTTGTTAAATGACTAATGTTCTCTGAACTTGTGTAGAATTACTGTATCAGGTGGTTTAGACTCTGGTGCAATTTTTTATATGTATCCATAAGTTTCTTAACAGTAAACAGCAGGAACCAGGAAGGGACAATGTCCATCCTATGCACCATCATACTCCAAAGCCTACCAATGCCTGTATGCAAAAATTTCAGTGAATTAAAGAAAGGACCAGATTGTGTTCTATTCTTCTCTCCTCCTCAGTAGCTAATTTTACGAGACATGAGGCCTGAGTCCTGTCTGATTAAGAATGTGCTTGGGACAATAGAAATATAGCTACTGCTGTGCTGAACTCAGAGAATGCTGCAGAAGCAGGCAGGAATGCTCTGGAATGCCAGGCAATCTTCCACGTCGGCCTGCCTAGCCCACTGGTGTGGCTTTGAAGAAGGCTAGTTCTCTCATTAAACACCATCTAATGCCTTTGATCCCTTCCTTCCAGTGGGTGAAAAATATATAAAGAACAAAATTAAAGCTATACTTTGTATGACAGCTCACCAACTGAGCCAGACCTATGCAAACTTGTCCATCACCTACATTTCTATGAAATAATTTCTGAAATTATGTTTAATTTGTTGTGCAAAATATCCTAATCTTCTACAGCAGTGAAAGATAGGTTAACCTGGTGCTGGAAAGGCTGAGATTTGGGAGATAGTGAGCTTGGTGCTCATTTTGGATTAATTCTTTATTTTTTTCCTTGTAAAATAGTATAAAAGACCTCCTTCCCCTAAAAATAGTGAAACAGCAGCTGGCAGGATTTAGAGAAATCCTCTAAATTTAGGGAGGAATATTTAGGATTTAGGAAGAAAGTTTTACATTCTTCCTTTTAAACAAAGTCAGTTTTAAAGTACCAGATCCTGTTCTTTTTCCCAAGGTCTGCTGAACTCTGCTCCCATCTTCTGATAAAAAAAAAAAAACAAAAAACAACAAAAAAAAAAAAAAAAACAAAAAACAACAAAAACCAATACAATCAGACACACTTGAATTCACATTTTTGCTCTGTCACTAGCTATTTGCTGAACTGAGGCAAGTTACTTAATGCTCTAAGCCACATCCCCTCATCTGTAAAATGCATATAGCAATGAGTATGCTCCCAGCATGATTCTAATGGGGGTTATATTATGAAGCTATACAGATAATTTCTAGTAGGGATTACTTCCATAATCTCTAATCCTCATTATAAATTGTTTATTACAAAGCCATCATAGGTACTCCATGTGTGTAATAGCAGCAATTAATGGTATTCCAACCACTGATGAGAATATAAAAACAGAAGTAGAGCTACACTCTCATATTGACTTCACCTCTGTTGTTCAATTTCCTCATAAAAATGGAGATGAAAACACTGAATATTTCAATTTATTATAAAGAAATCAATGAGAAAATATACATATATAATCAACTTATGATTGGCAATGGTATGGTTTATTGTTCTCCTACTTCTGGGCTCAGCCTTATGTTAGTCTGTTTTTGACTCTGGTTTTAAGGAGGGCATGACTCCTACTTTCTTCTTGACCTGCCCTTCCCCATCTTGGTGCAGCACACATACACCTGTCATATGGAGCCCCCAACACACAGGCAACATTCATAGTCTCCTTTACTGCTCTCCATGATGAGGAACAGAATGCCCTTGGTATTTTTATTTTTTTGCCCTTCCATCCTTCCTTCTATTCTTTTCTTTTTTTTTGAAACAAGGTCTCATCATGTTATCCAGGTTGGAGTACAAGTGATTATTCACAGGCACAACCACTGAGTAACACAGCCTCCAACTCCCGGGCTCAAGCCATCCTTCCACCTGAGCCTCTCCAATAGTTGGGACTACACACACATGCTCAGTAGCCTTGGTATCATTTTAATGAAAATTCAAGACTGTAAACATTTAAATGGGTGTCATTTTTCAAGGTGGTCAACTGGTGATGCTACATATGTATTTTAAAGAATCACAAACTACCCCTCAAAAATGATGTACTATAGTGATATATCATAGGCACTCAATAAATCTTTACTGAATATAATTATAATTAATTTTAAACTGGTATTTTAATTAAAGAATATATTTTGAAATTAAATAACTTCATATACTGACATGCTTACTGACTATCAATTCTTAGGAGCCAGTCATTATTTGGCCATGCATGCTAGAAAAATAACTTGAAAGTTATTTTATATTAACAATTTCTGCCCTTAGAAGTTTTTTAAATATTTTAAAAGTATGTTGCTCTGATGGTCCTTGTGACAGCAGAAAAGACACAATCTTGTTGCCAAATCAATGAGTCAGACAATGGACACAGCGAAACATATAAGACGCTGTTCAGAATGCTCACTGTTGCTGTTGAAAATGATCTATGATTGTGATTAATTGCTTTTGAAATTTCGATCAAAATTGATCTGTCTAATTTTCTGGCACTGGCTCTGTAAGTCAACTCTCACCCTGGAATTACATAAATCAATTCAGTCTGGACTTTTGTTAAAAGCAGGGGGAGGAAGCTTAGAAATGATTTCTGAGTTGTCAGTGACTGATGGATGTTCTGATTTCAGAGTGTTAGTAAAGAAAAGGTCTTACCGTAGCTGTCATAGGCATCCTCACTTACTCCATGACCGTAGTCATAGTACTCAGGCACACTGCAACAGATTCAGACAGCAATCAATGTTACAGTAATCAGGAGGAATCAACCCAGAAACGCGTATGGAATCTGAAGGCAAAATGTGCGTTAAGGTAAAATCCCAGGAACTTCTAGGCATAAAACACAATCCTAAGGAAATCTTCAGTATGAAAAATTCAGGTTATTGACAAGGAGTGCTAGGATTTTTTCATGTCACCTCAGTACTTCTTTACCTCTCGCCTCCAATTTGATAAATCAAATTTCCCCTAAAACACAAGTAGAATACTTCAAAATATGTCAAGAAGAGAGTTATAAAAGGCCCATTTCCAAGAAAAAATGCTATATAAGATGACAATCTGGTCAATCATGTATGGCTTTTAATGCTGTTGTCTTCAGAAATATGCATCAATTTCTTCACTTTCCAACACTAAAACTATATTTATACTCCCCTCTACCACTACTACATCATGCCTGTGCACATTCCAAATATATAAGCTATTTCTTTCCACTCAATATTTTGTTAGTTGCTTCCATATTTCAATAACTGTCAAAAAGGTGTTCTGCTTCTATTTTTTACTCAAAGGATATTTACTGTCTCCCTCAACCCTTAAAATTGTCCTCACTTTATCTTGCTGCATCAGATTCTCCCTTTAAAGCATCACTCCTTCTGGCATCCAAACATCTTACGTACATATCTCCTATCCTTAAAATGCCCTCCCTCACCCATATATCTCCTGGAAACTATTTTTTTCTTCATCCCTTTATAGCAAAACTTCTTGAAAAGAGGGAACTCTACTCATTCTTTTCATCGACTCTTTCTCCATATGCATTTGAAGATACTCAATCCTGCTGTTGTTGCCACTGCTCCACTGAACAGCTCTTGTCAAGATCTTGGTGTTTTCAAATCCAATGGTTACGATTTAGTCCTCATTTTACTTTAGCCCCATTTAGCACAGTTGATCATTTCCCTCTCCTTCAAATACTTAGCTTGCTTCTAAGATCTCCTCTCTCAGCGGTCTCTCAATTCACTTCGTTTCTTTATTCTTCTTTCCTAGCAACTTCACACTTTCCCAATTACTTAATCCTGGAGACCACTGGGACTCAGTTACTAGAATTTTTCTCTTTTGTATTCATATTCTCATCTGAGAATCATAGGGTTGGAATCTCATCCGACCCTATGATTTTAACACCCTCTCTACTTTGAGGGCTTCCAAATTATATCCCAATCATTGGCACCTCCCTGCTACTCTGGTCTCATGTATCCAACTGCCCAGTGTGTGTTTTCATTTGGATGCCAAATGACATATTCAAATACAAAAAATTTTATTTTCTTTGCAGCTTAGATCTGCTCCTTTTGCATTCTTCCCATCTTTATCAATGACAACACCTTGATTATTGTTACTTATGCCAAAAACTTCAGTCCTTTCATTTCTCTCACACCTAATGTTCAATCCAAAAACAAATTCTTTCACTTCTCGTGGCAAAATACAACCAGAATCTTAATATGTTCAGACATCTCTGTGGTTAAAGTTATTACTATCTCTCACTTAAATACAACATCCTTCTCACTGGCTTCTGTGCTCTGCTTGCTCTGTGTCGATTAGCCACATAGCCATCAAAGTCATTCTTGTAGAAGTAAGTTAGATCACAATAGTTCTCCACCCAAAATCCATCAATAGCTTCCCATATCCTTGATGGAAAAAATTTAAAAAATTCTTATTTTGCCTACATACTTTGCCACTCTAGCATTTCTCAGATCTCACCCTCCACCACTTTCTACTTGCTCACTCTACTCAGGACACTGGGCTCGTCACTGTTCCCTGAAAATAGCAAAAACATTAATTGTCTTTCAGCCTTTTCATTTGCTATTTCCATTACCTGGAACAATGCTTTTTGTAAATGCCCAATTGTACCTTTTCTAATTATTTTAGAGCTCACTCAGATGTCACTTATGAGAGATTTCCTTGATTAATCTACTAGTTCTCACTCATCCTTATCTTGCTTTGTTCATCTCAATCACCACTGTACATATTATGGAAGCAAACATAAAAACGTGCATTTGTTTGTTTACTTATCAGCTTTTTGCCCCTTCTAGAATATAAGCTTCTTGATATAGGAATTTGGTCTCTTTTTTATTCATTTGCTCCAACGATCAAGGTTAATTTTCTAGAACAGTGTTTGGCACATGATAGCTGCTCAATAAATATTTACACAACAAAAGAATTAATTGTTCACAGGAAGATTAGACACCATTTAAATGAGTAACCCAATGTAAAAAAGTCAGAATTTTAAAAATACTACACAGAAAGTGAAAATTATTTTAATTTAAGTAAGCATTTGGATAATGAATTCATATATTTTAATCTTACTGAGGTATCTATAAATATTTATAATACCTTATATTTTCCCCTCAAATACACTCATTGGTTTAGAGTTAGATATTGATCATTGTCTTCCACCTGAATCTTAATTGATAAATTATCTCAAGATTACTAATTCTTTTTTAAGTATATAAAAGTATGGCAAGAAAATGGCTTAATATCAAAAACTCAATTGTATAAACAGGTGGATGATGGGGGAGAGATGCCAAAAGGTTAGATTGAAAGGAAAGACAGATACATCCCATTCTCTGAACATGGTTGTCATTATTTCCCAAGGGAATGCCTATAGGTCTCATTATATTGAGTACTTCATATTTTATTGATAGTAAAGAAAGAGGAACAAAAATAGAATAAAAGTCTATATAGTATAGATAAAAAGAGAGACAGAGGGAAGTTTGGTCATCTTTATCTTCCTGAGAGGCAATTTATAATATACTAACTTCAATTTAAGTAGAAAGAAGCTAAAAATGTATCGCCTAGCTCAACCTTCATTGACCAGGATATCTGCATACAAACTGTCTAGGAAAAATGTATGGTAATGTGTTCTTCTCTCCATTCTTTGAATGACTTGAGATTGTAGAAAGCTAATGCCACTGGCTGGTAGCTGGAGGTTTATCTCTTCTTTCACATACTTATCTTAATAGAAATGATGGAACCCAATTAAGAATTCTCATGTAGGTGTAACAAATTCCTGAGAGTTGTTACATTGATTCCCTGAATGATAGAGAAGTGGCAATCATACGAAAATAATTTAACAAGCGGCATTACCATTTATAGGGATAGAGAGAAAAATGGTGGCATTGACAGAAGCTTCTCCCTGCCTTTGTCACAATCAATACTTTTTCTGTGAGTAAGCCTCTGATTATGTTTCCCAAAGTGTGCTGTATGAAGGTAAGTAGCACCAAACTCTATCTAGTGGCATGACTATTTAATACATTTATCACTTTTAATTTTAGTTGATAAAGGTTAGGGAGAGAAAAAGAACAATCCTGAGAGAGAACATGATAAAGAAGCTGCAGTTATTGTCTATCATAGATGATACATGCACACAAGAGGGGATTTTAACTTCCAGAACTCTCCAAAGAGAAAATGGAACATATAAGATATTTGTAAAATAATGGATAATGTAAGATAATAAAAATGATGAATAATAATCATAATGGACTCTGCCAGAGTCTATACCTTTGCCTATTAAAATGTAACTTCTCCTTTCTTCCATAGAAAAATGTTTACTTGGAGAAATGGCTGCATGTGTAGTGAATACACTCCCCAGACACCCTTTGAGCTAGATGTGCCCTGTGACTAAGTTAGGGAACATGGGATGTGTGCAGAGGTGAGGATGGCAATCGAGGTCATTTACAATTTAAGAAGAAGCTCCTCCTCTTGGATCTGTGCACCTTCACCTTCTCAGTTCATAGAATGCATTCAAAGTGACAATCTAGCATCCACCATGCAAGTAAAGACAGTGCCTAAGGAAGTCATGGACTGCAACATGGAAGAAACTTCTCCCTATAAATGATGACATGGAGCAGAGTTACACTTTACACTATTATTTACCTTTAGGCATTGTTAAGAGAAAAATAAATTTTTATATTGTTTGAGTTCAGCATGTAGAAGTGTGGAACTGCTATTAAAATATCAAACTATCGGTCATTGGCTTAGTGGGAGAGTGGAAGGTGCAAAGAAAAAAATATTGTGGGGTAGAAAGCTGATGGCCCTTGCTATGCCATTGCCAGTGACAATTTGGAAAGCAGGCTATAGGCCTGTATATCCTTTAGTACTAGGGAAAAATGTTGCAGAGAGCTGAAACTTTAGAAAGGTTTACAAAACATAAGAGCTCACATAAGAGCAGGCCATGAAGAAATGAAGGAGAATAGAACTTTGCTAAGAAAGGCTCTGATTTATGGGTTAGTTTTATAATTCAAATTGATACAGGGTTCAAAAATTGGGAGCTTAATAGGGTAAGAAAAGTCAGCTGCTTCTGCATTCCAATAGCAAGAGAGAATGAGTGTTGCTCAAATATGTCCTTGCATCTTCCCATTAGACTTTGCTACCATATATATTCCCTAGAATAATCCTTAGGCCCCTGCAAACATGGATCAGCAGGAAACATCCTGCAAAAATTGTGAAGGCCTCAAGAGTTCTGTATCCAATTCAGATATGGCCATGCATAAATCCATTTATCCATTAGGATAAGGAAGAACCTTCTAGGAAATCTGGCATAACTCCCAGAAAAGACAACCAAGGTTGCCAGATGAACTAATCAAAAAACTTATTTCACTCCTGTTGCTAGGGGTCTTTCAATCTCTGCTTGGCAGGATTTTGTGACTGTTATTGCCCACTGAGTCTTAAGTATTTCCTTCTTCTGTTTTCCTAATGGCAGTTTCTTTTGCAGTTATTCTGCTCCTTTTTGGCCACTTTATATTGGGTGTTTCATATGGAGAAGAGGCTTGAAAGTGGGAGAGATAATCTGCCTATTGTTTTACAGGTTGTCAGACTTCAAAGAAATACATCAAGACCTAATGTAGAGGTCTGCATATTTCCCAGAGATCCCAGATTCTGACCCGGTTGCAGTAATTAGAATTAAACTTGGATTTTCTTTTTTTGGAAGAAAGTAGGTATTTCTGTTTGTTTATTT